ACTGCTTTGAAATCTGGTGTACATCCAGATTAAAAAGTTCATTTTGAAACTGCTAAAACAGCCTCAGTCTCGACATGAAATGAAATCTGGATCGGATCCGGATCAAACTGTATTAAAACCTGATGGAAAAACCCTTTGTCCCAAAGTGAAACACATTTTCTCAGAATCTGGATTCAATCCAGAGCAAAGTAATCTGGGAACACGGCGGCCAGCCTTTATATCTGATTAGCTGATGCTGCATAAAACCAAACCCGTACCGATAAAAACACAACTTCCTCGATGGAAGTAATGCGCAATACGGACCACCAGACTGCTTCTAGCATTCGTCCGTGATCCATGGCGAGCACATCACTTCCTGACTGCCAGCCAGTCTTGGCACCTCATTTGCCGCCCGTCCACAAGCGTCAGCGTGCCATCTGTCTGTCTGCGACCATTCAATAGCCTCACCTCCGTCCTCTCTGCACGGCCGGACGATTATTCTGCGCGACCCCAACCCGTGACATCCAGCTGTGCACCATGACAACGGGACACTTACAAATGTCAGAGCAGATATTGGCTGGATCCATCTCCTGAGTGTCTCCCTTGGGGTCCTAACCTACCCAGACCGCCTGGTCAGACACTGGGGAGAAGGACAGACGGACAGACAGACACATATCTGTCTGTCTGTCAGTCCATCTGTCTGTGTAGCCAATCTTTTAGCTATCCAATCAGTTCCTTCTTCAGTTCAAGATGTTTTAAACACGCTTCCTTGAAATGTTTGTTTCAATTTAAGGTTTAGGAACTACTCAGGGCGCTTTAGACCAACACACATAACAAAAACCCAAAACAAAACAAAACAAAAAAGAAATAAAGATACCAGCGATGTTTGCACGCACCGAGCTAATGTTGTTAGCCAACCGCGGCCATGTCGAGACTGTTAATCAACCAGAAGCAGTTCATGCACCAAAGTAATTCTTAAATAATTTTGTTCTTAAAATTAGTTTTTCATAACCTGCTGGTTCGGGAACCAAGGGGCTACTGTGTTCATGTTTTTAAGGACTTTATTTTTTATACTGAGAGTAATTTGGCATGCTTGCTTTACCTTGTCTTATTTTATTTTTAATGAAAACTAGAACAGTGAATTCCACACATTTGTCCGAAACGAAAATTGCTTGTCAAGAAAAGACAAGAGAACAACAAAAAAATTACTTACAATGATGAATGCAAAAACGTGGCGAGAAAAACACGTAGCAAGAGGCATCTAGAAGATTCGAAACACTTGGTGACAGAGTCTTGAGCAAGCTGAATAATCCGACACCCAGTTGTTGGAGAGCAAGGAGTATTAGTGACAGGTGTGGCTCAGGAGGGAACGCCCTCCACTCCTGCCAGACACTGAAAAACAAACAGGACAGGATCATGACAAACCCAGTTTTTGCTGAAGATTTTTGAATGTGAACTCCTCTTCAATCCTGCTATTTACACCCACGGAAAGCGACGGCTACATTTTCATTTTATAATGTACATCTTGGGGCATAATTCTTGACTTGCATGGCGAGAGGATACGTTTTTTCTCTTGCTGTCAATATGCAGTATTATATTTTGAAAGACCTTTAAAAAATAAGTGTGATAAGAATATGCCCAGGCAATATTTAAACAGGGTTATTTCTCCAGTATATCACAATTTTTAATGGCGGGGGTGGTCTGGAACATAAGCTCGCCATGGGGGAGGGGGGGTTATTGTATTGATCTAGCTTGCTATGGAGGTAACCAGCTAGCAAGACATCTGAAGTAAGTGGGTGTGGCATCGACTGCACTGACGAGGGGAGGAGAGGTGGGGGGCGGGGGGGGTCACTGTTATTTTTGTGTACTTAATTAGGGAGGTGTTAGTTGGTGTTGAGTGGTATGGTCTGCGTTGTAGTTCTTCCGCTAAATCGAGTGTTTCGGGCTGATGTGTTAAAAGTGTTGATGAGTGGGTCATGGTTGGGGGGGAGCTACACTTGTTTTATTTTTGTGCGTGTGTGTGTGTGTGTGTGTGTGTGTGTGTGTGTGTGTGTGTGTGTGTGTGTGTGTGTGTGTTAGCTCCCCCTCCTCGCTAGAAGAAGCTGCGTCTGCACGCATATCTAACAAGGACGACTGGGG